ATATCCGCATTTAGATCGTCTTCCTATTTATTCGCATTGTCCCCGCCGAAGCCCCTCGATTCGCGGCCCTTCCATTCTAAAAGCCTCATCCTCTCGATGCAGTTCTCGAGCTGTTTCCGAGAGAAACAAATGATGAGGTGCGTTTTGCGTTGCTCTCGCTTTTCCTTGCCTCGTGGAAGTGCTGAAACTTGGTCTCGGGTCTCGGCGGACGAGACTGACCTCAAAGAAAGCGCTTCATTTTCCACTGAAAGACTATGGGATCGAATGGATCTGCCAATCTTCTAAAGAGGGGTTGGGGGGAGGGGGGGGGGCGGAGGGGGGCAGAGGGGGGGCGGAGATGGGTGAAGAACTCATCCCATTTCTCCCATTCCGGGATATTTCGCAGCTTTTCCCTGGAGAAAGCATTGAGAGAATAATAGGAAAATCCCTAACTGCGGAGGTCTTTCGTTAATCTTCCCCTGCCGTCCCAAATGGTGACTTTAATGTTGACTTGCTCAATATTATCCTCTTCCCGGTGCAGCCCGTTCCTTCTACTTCTTTAAGACAGCTATGACGGAAGGATCTGCATGGTATTATCATTCCGTGCGGCTCAGTTGCGGTGGTCGGGTGTGGGGCCGCCGTGGGTCTTGCATGGGGAATCGGATCGATTGAAGCCGATTCCCGTCTCCGATTGCCCCAGTCCATGTCTACATGGCACCGTCGTTTCTCCCCTAAAAAGCGCCTTGAATGAAACTGATTCGAAACGAAACAATTAATGTCTCAAATTGAACTCTCGCACTTACAGCGCATACATGCCGAGATGAGATGCAAATGACGGACATAAATTTCCAGCGTTAGGTGAAAACTCCTTTAAGCTAAAAGATTCCGCCGGCTCTTCCGCTCGACTGAGCCCTCGCGAAAAAAAACATTTGTACAGGATCCAATGAGACTTTCGAAACATGAAAATCGTATGGGATTCTTATAGGATTCCTATCGGAATCTCACAAGAATCCTATAATATTTTTATGTTTAAAAAATCGCAAAGGATCCAATAGGAATTTTCCTTCCCTATGGAGGCGATTCTTCAGCGAGAGAATCTGGCAGGGCTGTGTCGTGCCCCTGCTGTCCTCCAAAAGGAGGGCTCGCTTGGGGACGCTGCTCCGCGTGTCGCACGCTCTCGGCCGGTTCGACGGAGGGGGTGAAGGATTGCCTTACGAATCCAGGCCGGCGTTCGCTTCGACATCCACGGTTCCCGGTCGTTTATTGATTGGTTTGTCGCGGCTCTGTCGGGGACTTGGCTGGAACGCAGGCGGTCGTACTGATGCAACTTAATTTGTATCTCTTTATCCGGAATGACTCTAATCTCTCTTTAATCCGGACTTCCGGGGAACGCGATTTTGCGGAGATTAACGAGACATTTCATTTCCCTTTTCCTGACGAAGGAAACCGCTCTAAAAAACGTCTTCATTTATTCAATATTTCTCTTCCATCGTGGTTGGGAAAAATTCCGTTTTTTTTTCGACCAGCCACATCGAAGAAATCATAAGAATTTAACTTTGATTCTCGCGTGAAAAGCGTCTCAGATTTCGACGGGAAAGGGAGGTGGGAAACTCTCTGGGATTCCAATATCGAGGGAAGACTGGGAAGAGAGAGAGACGACAGCAAAAACGTCTTAATGACAAGGCCCAATCCCCATAACCCGATTTCCAGGAGGGGGGGAGGGGGGAGGGGGGAGAGTAGGGGGGGAGAGGGGGGGAGAGGGGGGATCAAAGGGGAGCTAGGTGTCTCCGTCTCCTTGTATTGAGATATAGTTTAATGGGATCGAGTACCCAATTTTTTTGCTGCCGCATTCTCGCGTGGTTGCGAGTTCTCCCGAGTGGCCCTGAGAGCTCTGTTGAATAGCAGTGATTAAACTCAGGAATTTAATATGAAGGCTGAGTTTTTTTTCCAGTTTCTCTCCATCAAGACGGAGCTCGTTCCTTTCACTTCAGCAATAACGAAGCGATTATAATAATATTATCTTTCCTCGCGCCTCGGCTTGAAGCTGCGCTTCGATCGATTCGGTCGGCTCTTGATCGGGAAGTGTGTCGCGCCGTCGATCGGGGTTGATTTAAGCCGATTCCCGTCTCCAATTACTCAGGTCCGTGTCTTAATTTGGACATGGCACTAGCTAACTCCATCTCTCGAAGAACGATCAAAAAGTAATTAATTAAAATGTGAGGAATTGCAAGAATCCATCTAATCCTTGCTCATGCAAACCAGCAGAGAAGAAATCCAAAATGAGAGATCCAAAATGAGAGATCCAAAATGAGAGATCCAAAATGAGCAATTTTCGGTGACATCGAAGAGATTCTCCATTCTTTCCAATCCCGAATCTTAGGCCCAATCTGAATGAAATGAAAAAGAAAAAGGTCAATGAAATCCCTCATTACATGTGTCATGAAGCGGACTAAAATATTCTAACAAATATTCTATATTTGTTTCACTTTTTATAATAATAAAAAAAACTATTTTCCACTAGAAAAGGATTTCGAGAATGGCTTGGCAGGGTTGTGTCGTGCTCCTGCTTTCCTCCAGAGGCGGGACCGCTAATGGAGGTCGCTCCTGGTCTCATGTCGCACGCTCTCTGCGGTCTCGATGGAGGGGGTGAGGCATTGCCTCCTGATTACATCTTGTCGCTGGCGCAGAGCAAGGCGTAAATTATTCATGCTCCCTGGTCTCGTCGTCGTTTCGTGACTGTGATCGTCTCTGCTCCATCATGCTTGAGGAAAACCCCGCTGAAGGCTTTTTTTTTAATGAAATAGGTACAACTTAATATTATAAACTTTAGCGGACCGCGATGTGATATAGATTAATGACTAATTTAAATATAAACGTATTTAATCTGACACCCATTTTTTTCCTGGGGAAGAAAATTGCACTATCTGTATATTGCAAAATGCCTTTATTTTTTTTCCCAATGCGAATAGGAATCTTTCCGTAACAAAAAAGTTCATTCAAAATTTCGGACAGTCCATTAGGGTTACATTTGTTTCACATACTCGTATGTTTCACATATGTTTCACCTCTATTTCCCATCTGTCATACATTGTCCCATTTTCCCACACTTGCATCTCAAACATCTCGTAAGATCCAAACCCGAATTCCAGGAGAAATGCAATCCGAAATATTCTGGGACTGGTGTCGATCTTTAAAGCATATGTGACGCACACCTGCCTCACATTTCTCGCAGGAGATTCACACCTGATCCACCCGACTTCCATTCACGTAATTTTTGACGAGCCACATAGAAAAAATCCAGAATTTTCTTGGCTACGATCACAAAAAAAAACCAAAAAGCTTATCAATGGGGAAGCGAGGTAAGAGGCTGAAATGACAAGGATGGATGAGCCTCGGGAAGAGAGAGATGACTGCAAAAAGCGAGATAAGGTCCCGATGACGAGAGGAATCCCCATTTCCCGACCCTGGGAAGGCAGAGGAGGAGATCGAAGGGGCTAAGAGTTTTCCTTTGTTTCTCTAATTCCCGGGATGAGGGCGAGGAGAATCGAACCCGCTTTTCTCTCGTATCCCGTCCGATGGCAAGTTCTGATTAGCCCCGATGGCCCGAGGGACTTGTCCTGGTTATTCCCCGCTAGCTCTGCTCGTGTTCAGGAATGAATTATACCGTTTGCATAATTTCTTACTCGTTCTTGATCAGGTCGTATTCTAAAGGTCGTATTCTCATCGGGTGTTACGGTGTATAGGTGTTCACCCGCTAATTCTAATAAAATAAATATGTGTGAAAAATTAGTATATAAAATAAAATAAATGCATAAAAGAAATAAATATTTCAATTCTTTAATTTCTTCGATTTATTAATTTCAATGTATTTATATATTTGCTTATTACTGTTTTATAATTTTTATTGAGGGGGGGGAGTGGTATACGTTGTATCGCATGGCAATGAACGTTTAAGTATGCCTGGACGAATTAGAATGGCCAAGGGCACTGCAAGAATGATGGAATTACAGTAATAAATAATATGATTCCTTATGATAATACTTAACGAAAATCACAATTTACGATAAAATCTTTAAAACTTAACGCATATCTTCATCATCATGACTAATATCCAACTAACATTGCTGCGCCCACAGCGAGATCATTTTGATGCAGCAGATGTCACGTGAGCCTCTGAAACGCATGGTTCCGGGAATGGAAGGCTTTCAAATTTCAGCTTGGGCTCGGAAAAACGTAAAGAATGGTGATTGGAAGGTTCTCCGAAGGAACAAAGACAGCAGATGGCATTAAATAGTGTACATACTATGAATCGTGTTTGATATATTTTCTGAAAGGTAAACGACCGGGGGGGGGGGGGAAGGGGTCCCTATCTCCTCTCCGATGGTGCAGAGGAAACCTTAACTTGGAGACCACCGAGGTCAAAAGAGTTTCGGTCATGAATTATTCATTAGGCTTCTTCTGCACGCAGAATTTGGTCATGTTATGGATCTAGGAGATTGGGTCGGTTACATATCGGACACGCCATGATGTGGTGATATGCCATTTCACATGAGATGGGGCAATGTGTGTCGGTGTGAGAAGGATTGGCTGCCTGCACCAGGTGAGAAAATAAGAACATTGCATTGCAGCAGAATCGGATTTCGTTGCAAAATAAGATTCATGCATGTTCATTCTATTGCTTTTATCGGGGCTTAAAGGTCATGTGTGATTGCATTATTACTCAGGGGAATTAGCTTCTACCATGACTTCTACGTCTTGCTTGGTGATGGTCATTCCAAATAGCAGAAAAAAACCTTTAACCTATTTCCTACGAAGCATTGTAACCTTCATTGAGAAAATTAGCACACACATATCATGGTAGGGGCCAAATTCCATGCACCAGGATGATTCGTCTCAATTCGTTCTTCCCATCATGACCATTGACATGACCACGGTTTCAAATCGGAAAAGGTTCCCATAACCCAACAGTAGAGGAGAGGGAGCGGTTGGATGGTTTAATCCAGTTCGGGTGAAGAGGTGTGCTAGACTTCCCAAAGGAAAGGAAGCCACTTCCCAGGGAATATCCCTTGAACTCTCTCCAGCGCGTCCTCGACCTCGTCCACGCGCAGGGGCCCTGTCACCACCTCTCTCTGGTACCCGAGTGCATCCATCACAGCCCCGCAATCCCGTTCAGTGAGGGCGATCTCTACCTCGTCCATTTCCTGTTTCCAGTGGTGAGGGTCAAACGCGGACCCGTTCCTGTACGTGCTGTAATAACCTTTCGTGGACGCCATGGACTGTGGATCAGGTGCAAAGTGGGTAAGGACTTGTTTTTCGCCGTCTGATGGCCACGGAATCCCCAGGAAGCGGTATAGGCCTCGTGTGACCTCGATCGGGTCTGACATCAGCTCCTCGTAACTCACCCTTCGCCATCTGAATATACAAACATTGCGAAATGTCTGACGGCTTTTGAAAATACGGAATAGTAGAAGCAGATAGTAGTTTTCCTATTTTTGTGGAACATTAGAAAGGGAAATAATAATCTATTCAGTAGTTGTAGTTGTAGCTCTTTCGTAACTCATCCGGTTCCAATGTTGTACTAGAACGTCATTTAAAGCGAATTGGTTGAAGCGCGTCATCATGAAACCGAAACGAAATGTGACATCTGCTAACTTTTATCAGAAATCTCTTTAGAATTTCTTTTAGTGCGTAATTTTTCCATTGCAATAATCGCATAATTTTTCCGATGAAAAATCCTTCATGCTCGAAGACGGGCGTTAAATTGTCTTATGGACTATGGCGTTTCGTTAGATTAACCATTACTCCATCCTCACATGGCCATTTTTCACTTAGAGTAAATTCTCAAAGCCCTTACTGATCTGAGGGAAGGCTATCGATGGCGAGGATGTCCCGCCCAATACGATCACACAAAAGCCACGGATCCGCCTGGAAGTCCTCGCCTGGAGATGCCCTCAAGATGGAGTTGAGCATCCCGCGAGGGTCTCGGACCCAGTGCACCACCTATGACAGGAGTTACTCGGGCATACGTTGCAGAGGCATCTCGTATCACAATGACCTTGGCGATATCAGGCATCAAGACACATTGTGTACGATATCATGTTCATCATGTGCAATGTTTGTGTAGATACCATGGTTAAACAAAATATTATGTTGAGTGAAGCTAAGGGTTCCGATAACCTTCCAATTCCGGCACAAGCCCCAATTAGGCCCAAAGGCTGAAAGAGCTGATGTGAATTCCAACTTCCATTCGCACCTTGATGTCATGCCTGGACCGTAGCCATCCCAGAGCATCGTGGTCAAACTGGAAACGAATCACCTTCGCCACTTGGGGTTGATCGATCCCATTGCAGGGCGGAAGACTGTAGTACTTCTCCTTCCAAATCGGGTTGCTCCGCGAGAGAGGGAGGAGCCGGTCAACGGCATCCAAGCTGCAGTTGAATATGCTCTCCAGAAGGTAGAGGGAGAGTCGGCTGAAATCCTGTAACCTGTGCATCTGGTGCATATCCTTTGCGAAGAAGAGGGGCTCGAAATAGTACCTGCGGTAAGACCCATAGAAGTGATTGATATACGGCATCTTGGGTAAGAAATGCAACAAGTTTGGAAATTGGAAAATATTAACTATTTAAATATTATATGAGATAAATATAACAAATTTAAAAATATTAAAGGGTCTAAGAAATCAAGAAAAACCCGAAAGTAAACTTGAGCATCAACAAGTGCCTTTGCTACTTTTGCGTTGCTATGTCAAATCTTCAAAAGGATTAATTTAGTGTTTGACATATACCTAGAACCAGGTGCCAGAGTGAGGAGTTCCCCCGCAAGAGACGATCCGGAACGTTCATAGGCGATCAATAGAACTTTGACAGCACCAGCGCCAGGGTGAATTTCCTGGATGCGGGGCCATTCGACCGACGAGACCTGTAACTGCACTTCAAAACCTTGCAGGACAGAGGAAGTGAATGTGACTCCTCGGAACCGTCGAGAAAATATTTAGCATTAGATACTACCATCTGGTGTCGATGGGGATGAAAAAGGTGAAGGAAACTTCGAGATTAATAGAGGAGGAACTCACGGATGAGGATGAAATAAAGGAGAACGAATGCGAACGTGGAGAGGAGGGTGAGGTGTCGGACCTTAGCCATTTCCCATTCTCAATACCTGCACATATATCCGGCCTCTGTGTATCTCGATTTTCCCGGCGGTTCTCAGACGGAGATAAGGGCGATTATGGACTCGTCCTTTCGAAACACGTGCTTAAAATAGGTAGGGATAGACAACCGACAACCTAATAATGTTTTAAAATACCTCGTATATAGAATGTTTCTTCTTTTATCTATTGTTGCATTCTATTTATGTTAATGATGATCCTTATCTCTGCGACAACTGCCATGATAACCTACATTTTTTGCTACCAAATTTTTCGAACTCTCCATGCTCAAATCAGATCGAGTCTGAACCGCAACCCATAATAATGAAGCCTGTTGCTCATTTATTTTCCCTGGAATCAAACTAATGCAGTGCCATGCCACATTAAATTTAAAAAAAAGGAGATAAAACATATTTGTGTCAGAAGAGCGCAGTGCTCTCTCGAAAAGCGAAACTCCAATGCCTCTAAGCTATTCTTAATTAGCTCTATTGTCTTACGTCATTGCCAGCACGATTAGCGCGGATTGTCAGCGGGACTAATGCATTTCATCGGGCCTCGTTATTTCGAGCGACTGTACTTCCTTGCATGAGATAAAGCGTTTCCGAGCTCTTTCTCAAACTACCTTCAATCGATCTTTTTCATGCCAGGAAGTAAATAAACTTGATCCCCGTTTTCTCATCATCGACTCGGGGAATTGTCGGAGCATAGAAATGGGTTCAAGTTGCCAAGCTCACGTCCCAAATCTATTCCGGGGAAATGAAAAACCGTTTTGGCAACCTATCTTCTCTAGAATGACGTTCATAGTGTTTCAGCGAAGTCATAAATGTCATGATTGAGGCGATAAATAATGATGAGGGCATCATTGGAAAGGTGGCATGTAGGTGGTATGACAACTAAAAATAACGTCTTACTTTTTTAAATAACAAGTGTATGCATGAAAAACACCGTATATTTCCATTTGAATATTACAGGCATTAAGCTGCAATTTCAATACTGGCGAAGACGAGGATGACATAAAAATCACCAGCTTTGCTTATGAAAGTCCTACTTTCGTCATTTCCTTGGGAATTTCTGCCGTGCTACTTTTGCTCTTACATAAGTTAGGTTTTTCCTTATTCAAGGACAAGATGAAGAGTCCTTTCTATATAAACAATTGGAAGGAAATTACTTTCCAAGGAAGACACATGAGTAAGATTAATAGTTGAAAGTTGTAAAATTTCAGACCATATATTTTTCTTTTGACTTTCTTCACTTTAGCACCACATCAATCTTGCCTTCAGAGCCATTCCAGGTGAATGTTATGCCTTCTGAAAACATGAAAACCGGTTTATTCAGTGTTAAAACGCATCACAGTAAGTAAATATGCATACGTATATTTGTAGAATAAACTTATATGCAAATTTGAAGTTTGAGCTCTTCGTCATGGGAGCTGGAAATTAAATGCTAATTACAGTTCCATCTTTCCCTCCTGACGACCAGAAGCAATTTCGATTCGAAAGACACTTCAGATCACTATGGGGCAAGGGATGAGCAAAAAATGTAACTCAATCAACTAACGCTACATTCCTGAGACATCGGGAACGGGAGTCGTGACCGGTAGCGGGCCTTCCGCAGGGGATTTCCCTGGAACCACCATGAATCTCTCCTCGAACCAGCCGATAGGCAGGGGCCCAGTCACCACCTCTCTCTGGTACCCGAGTGCATCCATCACAGTCCCGCACTCCCGTTCAGTGAGGGCGATCTCTACCTCGTTCATTTCCTGTTTCCAGTGGTGAGGGTCAAAAGCGGACCCGTTCCTGTACGTGCTGTAATAACCATTCGTGGACGCCATGGACTGTGGATCAGGTGCAAAGTGGGTAAGGACTTGTTTGTCGCCGTCTGAAGGCCACGGAATTCCCAGGAAACGGTAGAGACCTCGCGTAACCTCGATCGGGTCTGACACCATCTCCTCGTAACTCACCCTTCGCCATCTAAATTTACAAGCATCAGGAAATGTCTCACTTCTCGTGGAAATTTAGTATATTTTGAGGTGCCAGCAGATGACGACTTTCCCACGTTGTTGCATAGAGGGGGGGACAAAAAATGATAAGGGCAATTTTCTGAACGAAATTTATTCGCTCTCCTAAAAGTGAAAGATATCTTCATTGGAGTAGACATTTTTCGTTAGGAGCAGATTTATACTCGTAAAAATCAGTTTCAGGCAGATAAAGGGGTGCCATCATGAAACGGTAATTGATATGCTTCTCAGTTGCGGCCCGCGTCCACTTTTCCCTCCGAATTATTTGAAATCCCTTTAGTATGCCCGAAATGTTGCAAACAACTTGGCAAGGTCGCCATGACTTTTCAATTTTATTCCCCTCAGTTGAACTTGCGTTCATGCGCGATATTTCCAAATTGTCAAGGGCGTTTCATTGAATTAACCTAATTTCCCATGCAGGCATGGCTGTTTTTTCACTCAATATAAATCTTCGAACTCCTTACTGATCGGAAGGAAGGCTATCGATGGCGAAGATGTCGCTCCACATACGATCGCACAATAGCCAGGGATCCGTCTGGAAGTTGTCGGTTGAAGGCGCCCCAAGGACGGAGTTGAGCATCCCGCGAGGGTCCCGGACCCAGTGCACGACCTGGAATAGGAGTTCTGTGAGGTATTAGCTCAAGAGAGATCTCGTATCTAAACTAGCATGATCTTGGTGATATCTGCCATTGAGACAGATTATTTCTCATGGAATGGTTTTCATTGTGCAACTTCGTTTTGGGTGGACCCCATGATTGAAGAAAATAATGCTCTAAGAAATTCATGTATGGGACCTTCCATTCATGGCACGAGCATCCAAAAGCCCATTGGCCACAAGCCTCCAAAAGCCCATTGGCCACAAGCCTCAATTGTGTCCAATGAATGAAAGGCTTAATGTAAATTCCAATTCGAGTTCTCACTTTGATGTCATGTCGGGACCGCAGCCATCCTAGAGCGTCATGGTCCAGCTGGAAACGGATCACTTTCGCCACCTGGACTTGATCGTTGTCATCGCAGGGAGGAAGACTGTAGTATTTCCACCTCCATCCGGGGTTTCGCAGCGAGAGAAGGAGGAACTGGTCCACAGCCTCCAGACTGCAATTGAATAGACTCTCTAGGAGGTAGAGGGACAGATGACTAAAGTCCTTGCGTCGATTCATCTGCTGGATGTCCTTCACGAAGAAGAGGGGCTCGAAGTAGTATCTGAGATAATTGGAGCACAAATGTTTGGAATGGAATATCAATTTTTTTTATCAAAATCAAAATCGAATTTTTTAATGATCGAAATTGGAAAATGCTAACTTTTGAGGTGTTATGCATTAAATGTTGAAATTACTTATTAAAATCTGTAAACAACCCAGAAACTTTTGGTCTCTCACATAATATTAATAACTATAAAATCCCTGTAGCATATTTTGATGTTTTAAATCTCGATAAAAATCAAATCAATGGAAAAATATAAATTCATTGGAATTACCTGGAGCCAGGTGAAAATGAGAGGAGTTCCCCGGCAAGAGAGGAGCCGGATCGCCCATAAGCGATCAATAGGACCTTGACAGCGCCAGAGCCATGGCGAATTTCCGCGATGTGGCGCCATTCGACCGGAAACACCGGAAACCGTACATCGAGACCTGGCGCGACAAAAGGAACGTGACTCCGGGGAACCCAGCCGATTTAATTGGGACGGCAATAAAACTTCTTTGTATCGGCGGGGGCGTAGGAAGGGAGGTGAAGAGGGAAAATAAAAATTTCCCATAGAGAACCAATAGAGGAGTAACTCACGGACGAGGGTGATATAAAGAAGAGCGAGTGCGAACGTGGAAAGGAAGATGGTGAGGTGTCGGACCTTAGCCATCTCCCATACACAATTCGTGCACATGCATCCAGCCTTTGTGTATCTCGCTTCTACTGGCAGTTCTTAGAGATAAGACTGCGTGTGGACTCGTCCTTTCGAAACACCTGCTTAAAATAGGGATAGATATGAACAACCTAATTTGTTCTATATTTAAGGAAAATATTTCAAGAGATAAAATATGCTATTTATTTTTTATTATATTATATTTCATATGTAATTAATTTATTCATTATATGTTATTTAATTATTTATTTCTCTGTCGCAACTCTCATGATGCCCTATGTTTCTGCTACTATATTTTCCAAACTACCCTACATGTAGCTTTCTTGCTCAAACTAGTTCGACCCTGATGAGGAATCCTCGATTGTGACAATTGCTGCTTATAAATACTTTTCGCTGGAATCTAACTGGTGGAGTGGCTTGTCGCATTAACTCAATGAAAGATCAACTTTTCTTTGTGTCAGAAGGGCATTGTATTCTCTAAGAGAGACTCGGTAGCCCCACAACCCTTGCTAGTTTTTTCATGATAAAAAAAAACCTCGGTACCTATGGTATACAGGGAGAAAAAAGGTCTTCGGATTACTGATTGGATTGCAATTAATAGTAAGTGCTGACCTGCAACTGCTTCGCTGAATGGCCTTGACATTATTCGCTGCAGCCCTTGAGAGCCTCTCTGTTCTTCCTAACTCTGCAAGCATCCACGTCATTGCCAGCTTGACTAACGCGGATTGTCAATAGGACTAATGCTTACTAAGGGGCCTTTGTTTGACGTAGATATCGCATCCACCCCGTTCAAACCTGGGCTGCTCATCCGCCCGGCTAATTCGAATGATTGCACTTCGTTGCACGACCTTAAGCGTCTCCTCACTTTCTCCTACTCTTTCCCATTGGTCTTTTTTTAATGCCAAGAAGCAAATGACTTCGCTCTCGGTTTTCTCTTCGTTGACTCGGGGAACTCCCGGGGTGTGTACACTGGGGTACCAGTTTTCGTACCTTTCCGACGAACTGGTAGTACTCGCAGTAGGTACCACTCATTTTTTTCTTCATCTCATGCAAATTGAAAATTTTTTCATCGCCGGATAATAATTGATATAGTAATAATTGGTAATAATTTTTACCCAAAATTTCCGTTCCCTTATTTTAATCTTGTTCTAGGCAGAAACATTGAAGACTCTTTGAATGGTAGTGAATATTTTTTTATTTCGAATAGTTCGGCTTTATGTCAAGAAAATGGCACAGATATGGAAAATTGCAATGGATGCATTACATTATGATTTGTCACATTTTTTATGCATAAAAGATGCCGAAAAAAACTCTCCATCGCACTCCCATTCAAACTTTACAGGCATTCAGCCGGGATTTCAAAACCGCGGAAGAAACTATGTCCGGAAATTCACCAGTTTTGGAAAACCCTACTTGCAGTTATTTTGTGGGAAAGTTTTGCATAAAAATTTGCTCCCTTCCGAGTATGGAGAACCAATAGGGGAGAAGCTCTCAGGTAAAAGTGATAAGCGCCAATGCGAACGTGGAAGGGAAGACGGGAAGCGGCCGGATGCGAGCCATCCCCGGTACCCAGTGCTTGCTTTTGCCGTGCCTGCACGTATCTCTCTTCATTAGTGGTTAAGTGGTGATAAAAGATCATGTGCCGATTAGGCAAACTTGAATGAGATAATCTGATAAACATTCCATCCGCATGATTATGTCGTACTGCGATAAAGACCTGCTAGATAAAGAGCTTTTTTATGATAACGGCAATGTGTGCGATGCCTACATTTTTTCGCACTTTCCATCCGCTGGAGCTTGGTAGGACGATAGATACGATCGCATGCAGTTTTCCCATTTCCACCCCGTTTTTGTCTCTTTGCTTCTCCGTTGAACCCGCAATACATTTTTTTTCCTTTTAGAGGAATGAAATACTTGCACGACAAAACGACTTTCCTGAAAGTGACAGGTAATCGAACTTTGCGCCTTTGAGCCATGCGAGTCGTCCATCGAGCGCGTGAAGCCATCACCCATGTTCCTCTGAGGTTTCTCATCTATGAAATTCAAAAGGGATCCTACAGGAGTATCATTGGTTCCTATCCGCTCATGTTATTTGTTATTGAATCCTTATATGTCTATGTTCTTTAAATCTTCCACGATATCTGCAGGATGTCATGGAACCATAGGGATTCCATCGAATCCTCAAGGAAAGGGCTTGAATCCGTTGTCCATGATGGGAAACATTAAGGAGACGCTCCTATTCCTGCTTCAACCGCGTTAAGTTTGGAAATATTTATGCATTTGTATGGATTTATGTAAATACTCAGCCCAAAATAGTAATTAAAAAAAGTACAGGGTGTTCCAGTTGACACTCAGGGATTTTTATGTTTTATAAAATTTGAACCGATAATCAGAAATTCCTGAAAACTTCACCAAATATGTATTATGTTGGTAACATTTTTTTATACCGAAAAGTTTCAATCGATTCAGTTCAGTGATTCTTCAGATACATCTGAAAATGCAGTCTATCAATTTTTATGCATTTCTCTGTTCATGTGCTCCTCTAAGATCTGCAAGCGAAAATTGGCATTAGATAATGTATAAATAAATCACGCTTTGTCGTCTGTAATGCTTTCCTGAGCTTGCGACGTCTCGATTAACGACTCATCAAAAAGCAAAAGTTACGGTTCGAGCAGTTCCTGTACCCGGTTCTTTACGGCTATTTCCCTCTGCCGGTTCGCATAATACGGCTGTAACATAATCCGATTGATAATCCGATCGATAATCCGATCCATATTTTTGCCTGGGAGAAACTGGCAGGAGTGGCCGAATGGAGACAGGAGGGCCGAGGCGTGTTCGCACCCTCGCGTAATTTTTTTCCCCTTGCATGACCCGACTATTCGATTTGGGAAACGT